CGCCTGCCCTAGCTGGTCTAAGCTCCATTCAAGCTACAAAGTTTCAATTATAGAAGGTAAGCAAATCCAAACAGAAACGGCTCCTGCCAAGGAGCTAGCAGGAGGCCTGGCTCTGCTCCAGGCTACAAAGTTTCAATTGTAGAAAGTAAATATATCCCAGATACCAGGCCCTCGGCTTGGGTCTCTGGGGGGGGTGGCCGACCTGCAAACCACCATAGGCCCCTCGCTCAAGCTGCCCCACGCCCCAAGGAAACCCCACCCTGATCTGGGACACCCTTCAGGGCAAACCAGCTGGCCCCCACCCATGCACCAGGCCTCTATCCTATCTAATAAAAGAGTAATATGCAGATTGACTATCACTCCAACACACAATATGGCTGCCCCCATGTAGTCAAAGATCCTGCCCCTAATGTGGACACCACAAGATGCATACATATTAGGATTAACAAGACAGTCATTCAAAATTATTAAATTGGGATATTTCCAAAAACAGCCTTCATATATTAAAAAATTTACCGATTCAGAATCTCTCACCCAGAGATTCCTGTTACCATGAATTTTATAGTCTCTTTCAATTTTACCCACAAATGAGAATTCTTAGAAAAGCATATTTAAGAAGCACATACTTCGGTCTCTTAAAAAATACATTTACAGTTCCAATTATGAAAACCACTGGAGCCATTAGTACGTTATCCACTAATTTAAATAACTTCAAACCTTAATATTAAAATATTTTTAATACTCAAAGTAGTAATAGAAGCAAACATCATAGACTTCATATTTAACACCAGTAGTAGTAGTAGTAGTAGTAGTAGTTGTTGTATGGAACAAATCTACTTTTTCCATAAGCAAAAAGTAATGCTTCATGAGTCAAGAAATCACTCAACTAGTTTTTAAATGTCTATTCTGCATTAGAAAGTACAAGAGATACAAATATAAGATACATATCTATATAAATTTGGCATCATAACAGAATCTCAAATATACTGATAGAAAATGTTTTACAGGAAAAATGAACTAAAAATTATTTTCACAGGACAGGGACATGAACTGGAGGAGTCAGAGCAAGAAAGGGCATTGAAAGCTGAGTAAAATAATTTGCTACTTGTGTTAATAAAAACAAATAATTCAGAACACCAAATATAAGACAATTCGAGTAAAACAATTTAGAGAAAGTTTCCATTTGAGACTCATAATTTATTAAGCTGTTTGTTCATAATCACACACTTATATATAGAACTGGTACCCTGTAGCTTCATTCATAAAACCTCTCAACTCAGTCTTAAAATAAGTGCTCTAGCAAGAGAAAGAAAAATTAAAAGGAACTATAAGTAAATGGAAAATTTGGGGCACTAGATCTTAATATTCTCTTTTGTCAAAGTTAACAATTTTCTATTCTCTGGACATTTTTCTAGCATGGCCTTTTCCCCTAATATGTTCTATACCTGTCATTCTACTTTAAGTTGGAAGAGTGATAAAAGTTCACTTTGAAAAGAAATTCATTTTAGTAATTTCCTGTCCACCAGAGGGCTCCAATATTTATTTCTCCCACAAATATAATAAATGGAAGAGATATAACACTGCAATAAAATCATTAAGTACTAAAAAAATTCAAATTATCATTATCTCATTTAACCCCAGACTAAAATGTTTACATCTGCTACAATTTCTACATTAACAGTTCAAAAGGATACAGGGCTTTTTAAACTAATTTATCAGCTAAAATGTTTCAAATACCAAAATTGCTTTGCCATTATTCTCTAATTATCAATTTCTCTCAGGTAGAATTTACAATTTTATAGATATCATCAAGTACAATTTTAAGTCCAAAGCACTAAATAGTAACTCTAATGTTTTATATAATGCTTTTATAAATACTATTTATTAATAACTTTCCTAATCCAGAAAATAAAAGTACTAGCTATCTACCAAGCCTTAGGGCTTATTACTAACAAATAGAGTAAACATTATCTTTCAGAAAACCTACAGTCATTAACATCATTCATGCTACAATTATAAACAATAAATGCTGTCCCATCATGACCTATGATTTGGCTGGGGGGGGGGGGGGAAAGGTAGTGAATCACTTATATACAATGTATTATAATATTCTGTTCAGATATTCTCAGATTTTTTTTCACAAGTTATTATGCTGGAAATAAACCTCAGTTCAAACTCAATCACTCTTAGCAAAAGAAAAGTCAATATTTTATGAAAACACATGTATGTTATTTATAGAACATATTTATAGAATGTTAATAGGAAAAGCATCAACTGCAAATTATTTTTTTAAAACAGTACAGCAAATCCATTCCCTAGGAATGCTACTCCCCTTCTGAAAAATCAACTTGCTAAATTTGGAATATAAAAAGAGAATCCCTATGATAATTACAAAAAATTACTGAATGTTTAAAAATACAATTTTATAATGTGAGTTATATTTACAAAATAAAGATGCTAAAAATCTATTTTAAAGTGACTCACAATCGTTGCCATAGGACTTTCCAAAAACATCAATTGATTTAGCAATTACTGTAGCTCAAGAATAAATTATCTCTAATGAAAACATAGCAGGGTTGCAACTTCAATGGCCCACCTCATCTTCTAAATAGGATTTTCCTATACAACTGACAAGCACCATTATCATGGAAAAGAGCGCAACATTGTTTCTAAGTAGCTCATACTAGCTGTCAGCACTTAGAAAACAGTGAAAATTTTATTGCACCTAGCAAAAATGTATGTATTCGTACTTGCAAGAGCACATATCCTGATCAACTTAGAGTTATGCTGCAAGAAAAATGTCAGATTATAGAAAGTGGTGGTGGGGGAAGGCTGAGGCTTTTCACAGTGGTAAAATTGTTCTCATTTCAAGTCAGGAATAAAAACAAATTAACCGCCATTACTGCTATGAAGAGCTTAAAAATATGAAGCATTTAATCAACAACTTCTAACCAGTATTTACCATGTTATATTTCAAAAAGTCAAGAATTCTAGGAGCATATCAAATGAAGGTATTTCTTAAATAAAAATGTGAATAGCAAATAAAGGCTAAAAAGACTTTCTAACATGGGGGGAAAGGGGGAGATCTATGGACCTTCAACAAATTCAACAACTAGAAAACAAGGCATAGGAAATACGCACAACAATCTCATCTAAACTGTACCTTGATGAAACAGCATCAAGTTATTATATGTTTATTATATAATACTGCTGTGGCCTTGCATATCATCTTTAATCAAAGGATCTCAAAGCACTATAGAATCATTAAGGCCTTAAAGTCTAGAACAGAAATAATTACATTTTATAATTGCAGCTATTAATATAAACCTTGCCACTATTTCCCAGTCCCGTGATCCAAACATACATTAGCTTCCAAACCTTCCCTCTGACATGGAAACAGTATTTCCCAAATCATTTCAATGTGATTGATGCTATGCACATTTCAGCTTTTCATCATCACTGGGACTAAAGAAAATAATGGTACTGTTTTAATGACACAAATCTATTTCATTCTAACTCTCTGATACAATAGTGCACGTATCTTGCAAGGTGCAGGATGATATAAAATGGTGGCCTTATGGAGACCAAATTTTTGCTGGAGGTGATGAGCCCAAGCACCTACCAAACCAGAAACAGCATTTCCCAGCTCAGTCCAGAGACCTCTCCAGGCAACTTCTAGAGAGGGTAGAGGAAACCATGTCCAGTTATCTCCTTAAGTGGGCAGAAGAATATTCTTCTGTGTGCACAGCAGGAGGAAAGGGAAAACCAAAAGGACAAAGCAAGAGTTTTAAAACTCAGGAAGGAGAGTGTAGGGTTGCTGCGTGGTCACCCAAAAGACAGAATGTTGTGGTTCCTTCACATTTAAATAGCACCTAAAATGGAAATCCAACATAAGCAAAATGTCTTTAAATCAAGGTCAAAATACACCACTTGGGGTCATTTCATTTTTTTAATTATTTTAAAATCTGTAACTGAGTTTTGTTCCTATAGAAACATCTGAGATTTTAAAATGTAATCAACAAAGTTCAATTTTACTTTTTTGGCTGGAATACATGAACACTCAAATGGAATGTAACTATGTTAACAGCAATTCTTTATAAACCAGATTAATCACCTTCTTGTTAATTGCATTATGTTTGTCCCTAGGACTGCAAAATGTAATTTCACACTCACACAAACCCACCTCCAGCAGGGTAAGTCTACATGGCTACTTCTGTTGGTCAACAAACTCCCAAACTTAACGTTCACAAACAAAAGGAAAAGCAACGTTAAAGAATACTTTTTGTTTCGAGTTCTCAACAGTCAAGGATCAAAGCTCAATAATATGTTCTTTAGCGTTTAAAAGTCCAATGATGTAATAGGTACTACAAATATTTGGTACTAAAAGTCCTGTAATATTCATTAAAAATCCCAATATACGGTGAGCCTAGATTTGTGAAAATCCCCAAACATCTTAATATTTGTTGCCATACTTGTTCACCACATCTCAAAAAAGTCTGCAAATTCTCGTGGACTTTTTCTCAACGAGATACACGACACCGTTCTCGCAAAGATCAAGTTTGCGCCCAGTGCATTAATGAGCTCGTCCATGTCACAGATTCCGTTTTCCTGTCAACCTCGGTGTCTGGGGGGACACCCGCCCTCGGCTCTGCCCAACGTCACTGACGTTTTCCGAAGCTTGAGGATACAAGATACACTGTTCAGAGGCTCCTAGCAAAGCGATCTTCTCCACTTAAAGCTGCCTCCTTACATTTCCCCGACTCCTCCACTTCTCCATCGCCTTCAGTAATTAGAAAAGCGCAACCAAACGAGAAACCCCATACTAAAGGCACTACTTGCTAAAAGGGGGAAACCAGAACCTCCAACTTCTCCAAACCTCCCAGCACGACGGCTTTTCCACGGTCCCCTGCAAACTCGCCCCGCATCGGCATCCCTTCTGATTAAATAAGATTGGAAACCACAATTAAACCAAAGTGTGTCGTAACTTAGCCGTCACTCACCATATCCGCCGGGACATTGCTGGACATCTTGCCACTTGATATACACCCAGACGTTCACGCAAAAAAAAAAAAAAAAAAAAAGAAACAAAAACAAAAACAAAAACACAACAAACAAAAAGGTGCAGAGGTCTTCAAGCCACAGAAATCGCCGTTAAGGATCTCGATTCGTTCGTGATGTGCTTTTTCCAAAAACTAAGTGCTCTGGGAGCCCAAGTCGCGGCCTGGCCGGGCGTCTGCGCGGAGGAGCGGTGCGCGGAGCGCGGCCGGAGCGCAGGGACGGAGGAGCAGCCGCGGCGTCAGCAGCAGTGGCCGCGGGACCGGCCGCGCCAGGTGGACGGAGCCGAGTGACACACGGGCATGGAGCGGTGGGAGGGGGTTAAATGCGCCTTCCTCCTTCGTGGGCCGGCAGTGATTCACACTCGCGCCCGAGTCCAGTCCTCATGAAGCAGCAATGCCGCGCCGGAGGCTCACAGATAACTATGCGGCTACACATGGACGCGTGAGCGCTGAGTGGCCGGCGGGGGAACGGCTTACCTCGCGCCGCCGGGGCCGGGGTCCGGGCCGCCCGAAGCCGCGCTCAAGGGCATTTAACTCGTTGGGAGCCAAGGCCCGAAGCCCGCGGCGACACGCGCGGACGGGAGGGAGCTCGGGCCGGGCAGGGACCCACCGCCCCTCGGGGCTCAGGCCGCGGGCGCCTCCGGGCCGCAGCGGCTCTCGGGGCGCATCGTCTTCGCGGCTCCGCTCGCCTCTCCGGCCTCCCCTCCCCTCCCCGGCCTGGCGAGGTCCCGCGACACCGACTCCAGCCGGTGCCCGGAAGAGGCCGGTCCTCCCTCTCCTCGGTCCGGAACGGCTTCCTCTCAGAGCTCTGTCTCGCCTCCACTTCTCAGTGCCAAACGCCGCAGCCGCCTCCTGTCATCGCCCCTCAAGCCAACATGGCGGCTGCAGCTGCCTGAACGCGAGTCGGGGACTCCGGGAGCTCGCCCCCCACTAGCGGCCGCCGCCCCCGTCCCCCTCGCGGACACCGAGTGCATCACTACGGAGGCCACCCCGGAGCATCACGGGAAGTGTAGTTCACGCTCCCTCGCCCGACTTCGAAGCCACGCCCCTCCTAGTAACAGTTGCTAGGAAAGGAAAGCTAGCTTTTTCCAAGCTGTGGCCCAGAAGTTAGGTGTGACCTGGAGAATTATTTGGGGGCGGCGGGGGGGTGAGGGGGTGTGTAGAGGGGGGCAGGGGGAATCATTTTGCACAGAGAAGTTCCCTCATATACAATATACATACAGATTTAAAATATGATTTACTTCTAAGCAGAATCATTCATTTTAATGACAGAGAGCTCTCCACATCCTGCAATCTGAAAGCATTTTGTATAGTGATTTCCTGAGTCTCAACATTACATTTGGAAGATCAGAGGCAACCATTGATTTCCAATGAGGCTGTACAAGTTCAACAGGAACATGGATCTTATTAAGCGGGGAAAATGTTTGAACACATGTTTCCTGAAGACCCAGGGCTATAGTGCTACGATCTAATTAATTGAAAATACCAAAAACTGTAATGCCAAATCTACATCAGGAAATAGCTACTACAAACTAAGTGATGATTCACTAGTTTACCAGGCCAGCCTCTAAATTCTATTTAATTCAAAATGCAATTGAAAACCTATATACCTGCAGTGATTAGCAAATAGCACCAAATAATACCATTCCAAACACATAAAGAATATGTCTACTCCAGATTTAGGAACAAAATGCAGAAAACACAAATGTCTCTCTGAACCCATATTCATATCTCTTTTAGTACTTTGGCAGCATATCTTAGGAAGGTCAGTCTCAATAACACCTCTCCAACCTATAGTTATGTGACCTCATCTGTAAGATAGTCTTGCCTACTTTCCACTTTTAAAGTAGAATGACTTCATGCTGGGAAAATAGATTACTTTGTAAGTAATAATGCATCATTTGATATGAAATGTTACTACTCCTTCATTCAGCAAACAACTGTGCCAGGCACTGCTAGGCATCAGGAGTGTAAAAATGGATAATCCAGGCACTGTACACAGGAGACTCACTGTCTGACAGTTTGTCATTCCCCATAGCAACCAATCAGGTTTGTCTATTCAGGATAAAGGCTCACAGGACATGTAGAGTGCCTGCCTCTTAAGTAGTCTGGTAAATTCCAAGCACTCCTCCAACCTACCTCATTCCATGGTGAGTTAGGTTGGTAACCTGGCAAAAGGATAGTGCAAATACCCTGAGAAACCAAAGGACAAAGGAAATAAAGGCCCAATCACACCACAATTCGGCTTCAGGACTTTGTCTGAACATTTCAGAGTCCCTAGCTACATGACTTTCCTTGGCTTTGGTACTTGGTTCCTCATTCACCATGGTTAGCAAGCAAAGAGCCCCCTTCCCAGTCCTTCAGAAATAAGGATCATTGAAAATGCTTCAATTTTTGTTCTTAAACACTCTCTGTTTGCTTTAAAAAAAAAAATGCTTCAATTGACCAAAGAGTTAAGAAGGGATATTGGAACACAGAAGGTTCTTACTCACATAGTCCCCAACATACCCCTCACACCAACTTTAATCCAATGACTGCCCTGTCCGAAGTTTGTTGGGCTCCATGCTACAGTAAGTAGGAAGGCAAGGGGCATAATATGGCAAGACTTATGCAAGCTTCGACTCACACCTCTTTTGCTGCTTTCCAAGGGCCATGCAGCAAGGGTACAACAACCACCAAGGGAGCCCATGACCTTGACATTTCCAATACGATGTTCCTGTTTGCTGCCAGCTACCTGTGCACTACTAGAAGAGACCACATTTTTCAAAAGTAAAGTCACTGTACCTAGCTGTGTTTCCAATCACTCTTATAAAATGGCTGAGACATTATTCTTAGTAAATCTCATTGTAACTCTTCATTCATTTGAGTTAGGGCATGAGAGCATTACTGAACACTATGTAGATTCTCTTATCCTTACTCTCTGCCTCCAGACTCAAACAGGTGAGCCAGGAGGCTGCAGAAAGAGCACAGTTGTCCACAGCAGAGAATAATAACATCTTCTTTCTTTTTTAAATCTTTATTGTTGAGAGTATTACAAATGTCTCCTTATATTCCCCATATTGCCCCTCTCCACGCAGTTCCCACTCTACCCCAGGCCTTCACCACCCTATTGTCTGTGTTCTTAGGTAATGCTATATAATAAAAGCCTAATATGCAAATTGACCAAATGGCAGAATGACTGGTTGCTATGACATGGAATGACCACCAGAGGGCACACTTTCAATGCAGGAGCTGCCCCCAGACCACAGGCCTAGGCTAGCCAAGGTGGGTGCCAGTGGGGGCCCCCCAAACTCCACCAGTCACTACACAGAGGGAGTCAACTTGTGATGGTGGTGGGGGTGGGACCGGCGAGCAGGCAGCACCAGGCTGACCAAGCCAGGTGCAAGCAGGGGCCCCCAAATGCCCCGCCAGTCACCTCACAGATTGGCCCTTATCACTAGCCAGGCCTAGGGATCTTACCCATGCACAAATTTTGTGCACTGGGCCTTTAGTATATATAGGCCTCCTGGTGGTCAGTGTGCTCCCACAGCCAACCTCCTGCAGCCGGCCAGCCAGGCCAAGGAGTCCCACCCATGCACAAATTCATGCACTAGGCCTCTAGGATGCATATAAGATCATTGGTTAATCTCCTCTAGATCTCTTCTTCCTTCTGAGATTTGTCAGTCTGTTTCATGTTTCCATGTCTCTGATTCTATTTTATCCATCAGTTTATTTTGTTCATTACATTTCTTATTTATTTATTTTTATATTTGGATTCAATTGTTAGAGATACGTATTTATTGCCATTTTATTCTTCTATTTTTCTTCTTTTTCTTTCTCTTCTTGAAGAATATCCTTTAACATTTCATGTAATACTGATTTGGTGGTGATGAACTCCTTTAGCTTTTTCTTGTCTGGGAAGGGCTTTATCTGGCCTTCAATTATAAATGACTAGAGACCCAGTACACAAAATTCTTGTACTGGGAGTGGGGGTCCCTCAGCCTGGCCTGTGTTCTCTCACAGTCTGGGAGCTCCTGCCCACCTACCTGGGGCTCTGCGATGGGATTCCCCAAAGAGGGAGGCCCCATTCACCTGCCACAGCACTGCTGCCAGGTAGCCTGGGCCTCCCTCTTTGAGGCAATTGATCGTGCCCTGCAGAGGGAGGTCCCACCTACCCACTTCAGCCCTCAGGTCAGTGGCCCGGGCCTCCCTCTATATGATGATTATGGGGTGATCGTGGGGTCCCCAACTAATCACATCGCACCCGCTTTGGCTGGCCTGGCACCAATGTGTGTCATAGCGTGGTCATCCAGATGGTCATTCCACTGTCTGGCCTTTCAGTCAATTTGCATATTATGCTTTTATTATTATAGATAGCTTTGCTAGATTGATTAATCTTGGTTGTTATTCATCACTTTAAATATTTCTTACCAATCCCTTCTGGCCTACAAAGTTTCTGCTGAGAAGTCAGCTGACAGTTGTATGGGCACTCCCTTGTAGGTAATTGTCTTCCTTGTGCTGCTTTTAAACGTTGGCATTTTAATTGTGATGTGTTTTGGTGTAGGCTTCTTTGGGTTCCACTTGTTTGAGACTCTCTTTGCTTCCTGGACTTGTAAGTTTATTTCTTTCACCAGGTAGGGGAAGTTTTCTGTCATTATTTCTTCAAATAGTTTTTCAATATCCTGCTCTCTTCCCTCTCCTTCTGGCACCCCCTAATGCAAATGTTGGTACACTTAAAGTTGGTCCCAGAGGATCCTTACACTATCTTCATACTTTTTCTTTTTTTTTCTTTTTGCTTATGAATGAGTGTTTTATTTTTAATATATGTTTATTGATTTCAGAAGGAAGGGGAGGGAGAGATAGAAACATCAGTGATGAGAGAGAATCATTGATCAGCTGCCTCCTGCATGCTCCCCACTTAGGATCGAGCCTACAACCTGGGCATGTTCCTTTGACCAGAACTGAACCTGGGACCTTCAGTATGCAGATCAATGCTCTATCCACTGAGCCAAACCACATAGGTTTGAGTGTGTTTTTGCTTCTGCATATTCCAAATCATTGATTTTATTTTCATAATCCTCTACTCTACTATTGATTTCCTATAAATTATTCTTTATTTCAGTTATTGCATGCTTAATTTCTGACTGATCCTTTGAAATTCACACTAAGATTATCAAAAGTCTCACTAAGTCCCTTGAATAACCTGATTACCACTGTTTTGAGCTCTGTATCCAGTAAATTGCTTGCACCCATTTCTTTCATTTGTGACATGTTTCTTTGTCTCATCATTTTTGCTGCTTCCTGTGTTTGTTTCTATGCTTTAAGTAGTGTTGCTATGTCTCCTGGAATTGGTAAAGTGGCCTTGTGCAGTAGGTGTCCTGTAGGGTCCAGTGGCTCAGCCTCCCCAATCATCTGGGCTGTGTGCACAGTCTTGATTGCTGTTGGTGTTACTGGGAGGAATTGACTTCTAGTAACTTAGCTGTGAAGACTAGCTGTGACTATGGTGGAACAGCTACACACATGCTGTGTAGGAGACATCCCTATGGAGCAGGATTTGCTTCAGTGGAGCTGTGCTGCTCACTTAGTCTGACCTTTGTGTGTGTAACTTTTGGATATGTAAAGTTGTAAATCTAGTATGACCTGAAGCTGCCCACTGGGTACATTGGCTCTTGGGTCTAATGGGAGATGCAAAGTCAGCCACTGACTGAAGCCACCTGGCAGAAGCTACAGAGAGATCTGCAAATGGCTGCTACTTGTATTGGGCTTGGAAGTGCCCAGGGAGGCTCAGCTGTGAAGCAAGGCAGGCTAATGCTCGTGCCAGGTCTTGGGCTTTTTATTGCTGTTTCTTTGAGAGAATTTAGCAAAGTATGAAGGCTGAGCCTGGACAGGTCATTCATATGTAAAATCCATTGAAAACAGCTTGGATGAGGCTGCTAATTGGATGGGACAGGGTCT